ATAAGTCACCATAGTTTAAAAAAATAAAAGATAAATCTGAAAATTTGAAAGTTTTGTTTCTACATGTTTCTAGTCTGTCAAGAATCTGCGCATTACGAAAATTTTTTGTACAATACACCAAAATTTCAGTTTTCTGATAATCTGAAACTTATTCGATTGTATTGGAACAAATCCAGGGTTTAAATTTGAAATAGGATTAAAATAATAAAATGGATCTAATTTGAATAGGTTTAATAAAAAAAATTAAACTTAAAATAATTAAATTAAAATAATTAAGATAAAACAAATTACATTACAAATACTAAATTTGCCGATTGTTTTCGTAAAATTTTATTTGTTAATACATACATTAGATATTGGAATGTTAATTAAAAAAGAATTTCCCATCATTTCCATAATTTCCCATAATGTTAAAATGAACTTGAAATAATAACTTTAATGACGTATAGTTACTAAATAACTTTACAAAGAACAGTTCTTTATTTCAGTTCTTTATTTTAACAATTATGGGAAATTCTTTTCTAAGTCTTTTAAAGTACGTATGGTTATTGTAATTATAATTGACTTAGGCTCAATCGCACCAACGTTATTTTGACTTTGAGCGAGGCTTAAAACTCTATCTCACTTTAATACCTTGAGAGAGCGAGAGAGAGAGGGAGGGATGAGAGAGAGAAAGAGAGGGGGAAGAGAATTTTAAACCTCTCTTGAGATTAAAATGACATTGGCGTAATCGGGCCTTATTGTTTTACGTGTCACATGCGACGTAAAAAAAAAGACAATCTTGCCAAATCTTTACCTCGATATTTACAGAAGGTGTTTCATATGCTCTCCTTCCTATTTTTATACATCAAACAGATCCATAATCGCTGATTATATAATAATTGAATGATTGCCGGTGAAATCGTTACGTTTAGGTAAAATCTTAATGTTTGGAAATTGAATAGCATTCAGAATAAGATTTATAAATATCGAAGTAGATCTTCACGTCGATATGTGACATGTATAAACCAACTATGATACTAAAGTCAGTTATAATACTAAAATACAAAAATTGTTTATATCTCGGAAGTAATTAAATGTTCGACTTATGTTTACTAAGGCTTTTTTATTCAGTATGATGTGAACTAGCTATCCTATAAATGGTGAATACTTTTTGTGAACACCCTGTGTGTATTGTATTATAGTTTAATTATCAAACTGTATCAAGATAAATTTAAATAAATAATAATAATGGTTAAATTAGAATTAAAAACAAAATTTGACAAATTATATGTATACATATATTGCTTTTTAACAATGCATTAATAACAAAAGAAAAATACCTTAACTTTCTTTTTCTTCACTTTTGGAGTATTTACACCACAGATAATACTTTCAATTGCCATTTTAATAGAACTTGTGTTCACTTTAACTTAAGCAATTTTTAAGCAGTTCTAAAGAAAATAATCAGAGAAAAAAATAAAAACTAATCAATATAATATATAGAATATTAGTATTTTTGAATTTATTGTATGTAGTAAGATCCAAAAATTTCCAACACAATAATAAAAAAAAGGTAATAAAATAAAATAATCATATTTATTTTCAAATATTTTCAAATATAATATAATGTATTATCCTTTATTTCTATCTATTTTTCTAAAACGATATAAATTAATTTTTTTATACCAAAAATATTTAAAATTTTTGTCCTTAAAATAATTTAACTCTGTGAAGATCACTTTTTCATTATTGCTAAATTTTTCTTGAAGCAAAGTTGATTTATATAATTTTGAATATTAATTTATATAATATTGACTATTAATTTACATAATTTTCAAAATAAATTAAAAACTAAAAAATACACATCAAATGTTAAACAAGGACAAATAATGCTTGCAGACATTAAGTAGAATGCAGTCTTAGAAATACTCACCAATCGACAAGATTTGTTTTTGACGATCATATTTACCAATCAGTATTAAACATAAATTGTACTGAAAGATAACGCAAACGCAATTGCGATTGTCACAATTATATCGAAGTTACATCATAAGTAATATTTTTATCTCGTATCTATTTTCGACAAGCCATGCCAGCTGAAAAAAAAAATGCACAAATTTATGAAAGTCGCAAACATTTTTGCTATAAGAAAAAATTGAAGGTGCAGATTTCATGGTTTTATAATAGACAGAATAAATTAAATTTTGGAGAACATACATCAAGATATATTTATATTTGTATTTAAGCTACATTACAAAACGTTACTTTTGAGGAAATTTTAATAAAAATCTTAATGTACATAATGTAATTTTTCAGTAAAATTTTCTTCAAGAGCAACGTTTTAAAATGTAGCTTCAGATGGAAAAGCGTGTGAACGACACAAAATGTAACAAAATGTAATTTAATACACTACATCGCATAGATTAAAAAATACGATAATTTTCGTTGTGAATCAAATCGATTTAAAATTGCGATGGCAAGGTGAGATTCGAAATCGGCGAGAAAATCGGCGATCTGTCATCACGCGGTAAAAAAAACCTGGCGAATCAACCTTCATTGTCGTTATCGTCATCATCACGTTCCGTGCGAGTGAAATGCTGAAAAGCAATTGCTGTGCTTACTGTTAGATCAAAAATATCATTTGTATGTATAAACCGATAAGAATTTGTTTCTTGCACTTACAGACATTTATTACACCTTTTTATTTCTTTCTCTGTCTCTCATTGGCAATTCCCGAGTATAAATCATTTCATTCAGAAAATAAGACAAGTATGTATTGTAATACGCCGTGCAGTTAAGAAAAATAGACTCGACTTGATCGAGTCGGCCTATAAATTAAACTATGCACTCACCGAAAAGTTAAAACTCAAGCGATTTTCAAGTGATCGCGTTCATCGCACTATGTGACGCACATTTATTTGACGTACGCGCCTTCACGGGGTTGCAGGTTACGGTTACATCAAGTATGCGAGATGCGCGGATAATTCTCTCGCGCTCGGACAAACTTCGGACTTTTTACTACTCTCAGACCTGACTTTTCCTAGCCTGACATGGCCAGTGTCCTCAGGCGCGGAGTGCTCGGACAAATAACTCGCAGCGACTCGGTACTCTCGGCAACCGTAAGAGTACCCGAGAACATTCTACCACGAGTCACTCCGGAGTCCGGACTCCGGACTGCTCCGGACTGAGCAGTGAGCTAAACCGAACCGAAATGAAATTAATAGGTCTGTTCGTATTGCAATTTTGCACTCAGATTCTTCTCTCTCTCTCTCTCTTCTCCCTCTCTTTCTTTGGGTGCGTTCCTTTTGGATGCTCATGCGCTGTAAGCGCTCACCACAGTATAACCAGTGATAATAACCAGTAGGTCCACTTCGTGTCGGCGCTTTTGATCTCCTTTTCCAGATCACGTGAGCATCTACCATGTTAAATCCAGGATCGAATTGAGAAAAGTGCCTCACAAGTAATAAAACATAAGTAATAATATGGATTCGATACAGTAAATCAATAAATTCAATGTGTGAATCAAATAAAACATTTCATTAGTAACAATTATTCGTAGGAGTGCAGAAAATTTCTGATGTATTTGCTTATAAATTGGCTGCACATATGTTGTACGTTCCTATCGTCTTACATTTCATTGGATCCAACCCAAAACAAAAGTTGCGCGGCGATACCTGCGCGAAGACTCAGTTTTTCGCTAAGTGGACCTACTGGCCTAGTTTACACCGAGCACTTGATACGCATACTAAGTACCAAATCTGTATCAAATCGCTTGATACGGTCGGTGTAAACGTTCGCGAATTATCTTAGTACGGTCTGGTTTGATACTCCTGAATTGCTAGTATCAGACCAAAATAGTACACGTAT